AAAAATACTGTGAAAAAGTACACCTAAATGTTTCGACCAGTAGCGGATTTGAGAGTGGGGTGAATGACGAGGAAAGCCAACTTCTCAGGAATTCGATCTCTTGACCACCCAAAAGATCCCATTGGGCCTATTTTACAACATCCAGTTTTGGCATACCATCCTTATATTTTTTCTTAAGGCACCTATCGTGCCAAGGCACATTCACTTTGAGGGATATTACCCATATGTACCGACAAGTACACACGTTTTACTTGTATTTTTTTTTGTTTAAAATGGTACCATTAAATCAGCGGAGTACTTTGCACTGACTTCATGTTAACACTTCTTTGCGGGACTGGTTGTTAGATCCACGGGTAAAAATTGAGTCTTCTTCATATTCAATGGCTTAACATCGAAATGTGCTTCGCATTTTATGTGCTTTAAAACATAACACAAAAAACATTAATATGCAATTAAAAAAGTATCGGGCGACCAAACCTAAAACTATGAAAAATTCTCACTTATTAACTCATTTTCAGTTTTGAAAGAAAAAAAACGCTGAACAACTGCAAATTTTGTGGACTCAAATTCCAATATTGACTCAAGTTTTCTCCCAAACATGTTGAAAATGAGTTTTCCCCATGTCAACATGGAAAGAAGTCAGTTAGTTTAACAGTTTGAAATTAGTTCGCAATAACAAATTAAAAATATCGAAACTAAAGTTTTCATTAATTTGCTCGCCACGTATAAATAATCAAACGGTAGAACAAATGGAAAAACGGAAGCTCGGTCTAACAATGATAGTCATTCAATAACATAGACAAATACAACCAGTAGTCAGTGAGTTAGTAGACCCAGACGTTTGAGTTATTATTATTATTTGAGTTAAACTAATGGCCAGAAGACTGAGCAGAAGATAAATCTCAAAAAGACAACAAAAGTAATTTAGTTAGTTTAAGCTTAGTTTTTTTTTTTCCACTTAGTAGAAAAAAACGGCATAAGCATTTAAGAAAAACACATTAAGAACAAGAAGAAAGCACCATGAAAGAAAAACAAACCCAATTGACTCCCTAATCACAAACAATCACTTGAAATTGTCGACTTGAAACCAAGCTACTTGGACTAACTTACACCAAAAAACTGAATTATTTTTTTATCCCGGGTCGAGGTGCCAGCCTCTTGCACAGCTTTTGAAAGTCGTACCATACCCGGATCCAGATCTAAATTGCATAATAGGGCCAAAAACTTAAGTCAGGGAAACCTGGACGTAAAGTCCCGAAGTTTGCGCCGTGGGTCGTGAAAGTTTGGACATAACTTCGCGAAAATCGGAACATACGTTTTCCAGATTTTCGCAACTTTAACTCTAGTCTTTAGCGACTATATTTTCAGTCTCTTGCAAAGGTCGCGCTGCTGTTGCACGTCGGGTCGCGCCGGTCGCTCCATTTCTTGAGTCGCTCAGTCTCCGCTTTGATCGCAAAAGTCTCGACAGATCTTTTTGATCTCAAAGGCCTAAAAATGACAAAGTATGATCGCAATTGGGACAATTCTTAGCAGGATAGTTTTGCTCGCGAAAGTTTGCAGTTGGATGAGTTTGGTCGCTTTCTCCACTTTGGTCGGGGGTTGCGTCGTTCCTGAGTTGCACCGTCTCTAATTGTGTTGAGAAATTCGAGACTGAATTTTTGGTTGTTTGGTCGCGAAAGCTTGGAAATGATAAACTTTGGCCGTGAAAGCCTGGAGCCTGGGCAGACCAAAATTGGGACTCAAAAATTTGGTCGTACCACCTTTGTCTTGGTTGCAAAAGTGGCGACGGATCTGTTTGATCGCGAAATATCTGTTTGAACGCCAAGTTTCGTTGGCAAAAGTCTGGACATGCCAATATTTGGTACGAAAAATCTTGCACTTGTCAAATTTTGTCGTGAAAGTCGTGAAAGGGAAAAAATTTTGTCGTGAAAGGGAAAAAATGCAGACCTCGACACGGGAAGCTCCGTCTGTGTCAATCATTTTTTGGTTCAAATTATTGAAAAAAGTTCAAAACCAAACAATAAAAATTGAGGACTAAATTAAGATTCCCGTAAGCCGATGAAAAGTAGCATGTCAATATTGTTCCAATTTCGATTTTAGAAAAATATTACTGATGACCTAGTTATTTTTTTTTATTTTTGAAAGAGACAGTTTTACATGAAAAACTTCGAATTTCATACTGTACTGGAAAAAACGATAAAAAATTAACCTCACAAGTTTTATTCTACAACTTTTTTATAGCTGTTTTTTATTTTAGTTTAACTATAATTATAGTTTTCTTGCTTTTTTGCTCTCGCTAGTAAAAAACAACAAAAAAATCGATCAACAAAAATTTAAAATTAAAAAATGAAAAATTTCAAACTTTTTTTTACAAATTTCTTTTGATTTGATTTTTTTTTCAAATCATTGAATCGGAAAATTTGACGCTACTTTCACAGTTTTCAAGTAAACGTTTTTTATATTCAAAACAACCGCGGCAATCAAAATAATAGTTTACAGCTGAACACTTGTGAAACCAATGAAAGATATCGACTGTCTGAGCACAAATGTAAAAAGATATTGATGTTGCGATCAATCAAAACAAGTGTGAGGTTATGAAGCTCGCCGTTTAATCAGTTTATAGTCTACTTCATGCTTTTATATTTTTAACAATTATCTTGAAAGCGTGAGCGTCAATTACTTATGCGTGGCGAATAGTTCATCAATCAAGATCATTTCAAATTGATTTGAGGCAGGTGATTGTTTATAATAGTTCTCCTACAAATCAAAACTATAGCAATCGTCATTCTGCGACCAAGGTTTTCAATTCCGGATAGCGTTGTTTGGTGGGGAAAAATAAACAGATTAAATTTGGGCGCAGTATTCTACACCTGGCTGTGATTTTCAGAATTTGGTTGCGATATGTTCTGTGAATTACTCACCACCCGCACCGAGCGCTCATGGATCATAATCGATTGATTTGTCATAAATGGTCAGTATCTATAAAATTACAAAATAATTGATTATGATCCCTTAAAATTAGATTTTAATCCTAAGTATTTTATAACAATATAATCCATTATAATCCATTAAACCCCCCCCCCCCCCACCGTAAACTTTAGCACCCTCTTCCCAGGTTACTTTATCCCCCCCCCCAAGCTTACTTTATCCTCCTCCCTCCCCCCCCCGTTTAAATCGTTTAAATCCCCCACCCCTGCTCCTCCCTGACAGTTTTCCGCAACCGCCATTCGCCCCCCCCCCTTATTGTTGAACACGGGTGGGGGTGGGGGGATGTATTTATTGGTAGACTTTGGGAGAGGGGGTTAATAATTAACAACCCCCAAATTGCCGCCCGCCCTCTTTATTTGGGGAGCTAAAAAACTTGAGGGGCTGACGTTGAGATATGACATTTATTGAAAGACATGGCATACATTTAGCAAAATTCCTGCAAAAATTGCTAAATTTCTGCTAAAAAAACGAAATTAGTCGAAAAATAAAATAAACTATAATCGATTAAAATGGATTATCTTTGGAAAAATTACCGATTTCAGTGCCAAAATTTATTGGAGTATAATCGATTATAATGGATTATAATGGACTATTTTTTTCAAGATTAGTCAATTATAATGGCAATATATTCAATTTCGAAGTCTGAATTTTACATATTTAATTGATTATAATGGATTTTTTTTCGCTCGGAAATCCATTATAAACAATTAGAACCCATGGGCGCTCGGTGCCGGCAAAGTCTGGAAACTAGTGGCAAACTTTTACCATAGAGATTTGTGACAGTATGAAAAATGTTGCGGACCCCTAGCAAGAACAGTAGAGTGCTACATGTAATCTAAAACAAAAGATCTAGGCAGTAATTGCTCAAATTAGTAACCACACTAAAATATATAGCAAATAAAAGGTAGCGCCGTCCCGTTTTAGAAAGCGTTGCTCACAACGTTCTCGTTTAATTCTTGGTCAATCACTCGGTTCGCAGACCTTTTTCTTGGGTTGTACTTGTTGCGGACGTTTGTTTTTTCAGTTTTTTTTTTAAGTACACAGTCTTGAACAAAATAATCAGGAAAAACAAACACTTGGACTAGTTAACATGAACAAAAAACCACGAACCCGACGAGAGATCCTAAATGGTTTAGAATCAATGGTATGGAATCAAATTGTTTGAAACCAATATTTGTCTTTTAGCTGGAAACATTCAAGCAACAAAAACAAGGAAACAAAAAATATATTAAAAAATCATGACAGGTTTATAGCTGCGACCAGCATTGAAAATGGGAGGAAGTTTGTATTCGGGTGTATTTTAGTTTTTTCTCTTTTTTTTTGTTTTCCACGCAAAAACTTGTACAACTATTTTTCAGAATGATCCGAGTGATATATCATAATAAAGCTCTTTCAGTCATGATTCGAACATAATAAAATTAAAACAAAAATTGTCCCAGTGTCGAGAAAAACTGGCTTAAAATTTTTGAGAGTTCCTCTAATTTCGAGCGAGTAACTCGATCGAGTAATCTTCTTTAAATAAAACTTGATGAAAGTTGGCAAATTAAACCAACAATTTTTGAAAACTAGTGGTGGAAGCTTTATTTAGCGCTTCCTTGATAAAAAAGTTTTCAAAAAATTTAAACATTTTGTGCAAAAAAAAAATTTTTTATGTTCTTTTTTTTGTTGAAAATATTGCTGTCAATTTTGCCCAGGTCGCTTATTATAAACGTGTGATATATTTCTCTTATCACACCACCCACAAAAAACGACACTAAATTGAATGAAGAATAGTAAGAAAAATTTCATTTTTTTTAAACATGGTCGGAACAATCTGTCCTACATTCACAACAACCGGCTATCCTGGTTTTTGAATATGTAATCACCATCGCAAATCATAACTATATATCATAACTATATACAATAAAACAAACCGAAGTTTCTATTTGAATATTCGTTTCAGATAAACAAAGGAATTAATTTACCAATTGGTACCATAAACAAATAATTTAAAGTTAGAAATACATTAGAAACCATAAAACCAAGAGTATAGATTAATCAAAAACAACAAATTGCAAATCTATTTATTGTCAATAGGTGACAATGAGCCTGTATTTTTAATAAGATATAAATTTTTACTTAGATGGCAGCTTTTGCAATATAAATAATTATCAATAGCTCTACACAATTGCTAACTATCCAGCGACAAAATTTACAACGATTTTCTGCACAAAAAAAAACATTTTCGAGCCTTTTTTTCTTGGCAAGTGGAGATTTTCCAGCTGAGCAGTTGATTATTTAGACCATTGCGTGAATAATTTACTCGCTGTGAACTCGTTTTGTTGACAATAAGCATGTTCGTGACAGACCCAACTCCTTGTGCACAGAACATAGCAGATGCCTTGAAGTCATACAAGGTCAAAGCGTCAGAGGTCAAACTGGTGGCACAAGATGACGTCAGCACCATTCTGTTCAGCTGGTACTCCTCCACTGATGACGCCACTTACATTGGCTGTTATCTGCTGAGGGTGAAGACGAAGAATAAACAAGGCATCCCAAGGACACAGACTATGCGGGATACAATGGCTACAGGTAATTAGATATGACTAATTATCAAAGCAGTAGCTAATTTAGTGTAGGATGTTGGTTTTATTCAAACCGATAGCTGACTTTGACATACAACCCAGCATTGTTTGTTCTAGGCGCCATCAAACTGCACCAAAATAGTAAACTGTCACTTTTGTTTAAAAAATCATTCTGCATTGACCGGGTCGAAGCATAAAAAATTGAAGCATGTTTTCCAAAATACTTTTCTGATTTTTTATTCAAAAATTTCAGCTCATTGGAAAACTTCCTTATCAGAATTTCCTTATGCCTTAAGTAACAGTCACTCGAGGAAAATTGCTTGCCCTAACTAAATCATAAGTTTCAAAGGTTCCCTTTAAATCATAAGTTTCAAAAGGCACTCGCGTTATAAAATAGAAAATTTTATGATTTTGAAAAAGCATTCCAAATGAAGAACATAATTTTTTTGCTACGACACTTTCCTGAAGCGAAAGCAATGACGATTATGCATAGCCACATTAATTTCAGTTTTCATTTTTGGTTTTTTACGTGGTCTAACTTGGCCGAATCATATATCTGTTGGGTTGAACTTGCTTGAAATGTAACCAATTTTGATCGAAATGATTAGGCTGAATGTTGCTTAGTCGATGTTGGTCAAAAACAAGTATGGCTTGGCCTAACTTTGTCAGAACGAAGCAATTTTGAATGCAGGTTCGAACTTAGTCAAAACATATATTGATTGGCCAAGCTTGATCTAAAAATAGCGGTTTTTGGTCCGGGTTGACAACCCTACAAAAATTTCCCCTACTTTAGAACTTCTTATTAGATTTGTAGGAAATTTCCGCTATCTTACAAATTTCTTATGAGAAAATTTCTGAGATAGCAACTTTTCCCCAAAAAACAAAAAAGCGCCAAGTGTGTTTTTTCAGACGCAATAACAGATCAAAATCAATTTTTGGAAAGTTTTAGTTTTCTAGTGAGTTTTAAGCATGTAAATTTTTTAAGAGAGTGGTTATCATGTATGAATTTTGGGGAAAAAAATCCGAAAAATAAAATTTACTTTGTTTTTGATGAATCTCCTAGCTATAGGTAATTGGCGATTCAAAATAGGTTTAGAGACAATAAAATATCAATTTTGACTAACTATGTCACATAGTTGAGGACGTTCTGTAAGTCAAATTCAGGCATATATCGACAAAGTTTCTAGTTGTCAGCAAAAAATTAACCCTATAAAGTTATTGGATTTTTCAGTAAACTTATATGACTAAATAGTCGTTTGGCCTAAGAGTTTCCGTTATTGTACTCTGAGACAGTAGAGAACTTTTAAGCTAGTTTTTTGAAGATTTTTAACATAAACCTGCAAAAAAAACTTGAAAAAGTTCCTATCCTACAGTTTTCTTATAAGAAAAGGTCCCTATCTGGTAAAATTTTTGAACCTAATTTTGTATGAAGTTGTAAGATTCTATGAAGAAAGTTCTAAGTTAGCGGGGGTCTAAGTTTTCAAACTGAAATTTCCTTGATCGAACTGAATTATGCATGGTCGAACATGGTCGAAAAAAAATTAGGTGGATTGAATTTTATCGAAACAAAAAGGTTTTCGGCCACGCAGGTCAAAATCTCGGCCTTATTGGTTGGGTAGTTTGAAACATAAATCAAAAAAGGAAGTCTGGACCCGGCCAGCGAGCACTATGAAGTCGGTTTCTAGTTTGAGTACATTTGTAAATGGCAACGTTGGCGTCTACAATGTACTTTTGTACAGGGGTTTCTTAAAAAAAATCTATAAACGCAAAGTTTGACAAAACTGCTCGTATCAGGGCGAATCCCTGAATGCTCTGATTGCTTTTTAAAGTATATGGAATTGTAATCGTTTTAAGAACATGGGTGACATTGAAAGTTTTTCAAATTTTTTTTGAAAATCAATCCTCTACAAACTATTCAAAGTACACAGTGATATATTTTTGAACATATTTTTTGATGAATGAACCAAATAACTGGCCTCAATTCAATTTGGAAAAATTTTAAAGAGCGATTAAAACTCCACTAACGCGTTTTAAGCACGAAAAATGTTGCGCGTTAATAAACCCAAATGACCAAAAATGACAATCTTTAAGCCCCCATAACTTTACAAAAAATCTTCACAGGTGAAATATCTTTTCAAACTTAAGCTCAGGATAACAATACTTTTTGAATGATATAAAAAATTCCCGTCAAAAATGTCCAGTTAAAAAGCCAAAAAAAATCCACCCCGAGCACAAATATTCCGTTATTTTTGTTACGAAGGCCGGAACAATAACTTTAAGTGAGAAGATGCTATGATTCGATACAATTTTTGAAATTACTAAAGTCAGTTTTTAAAACTTAGATGACGTCCCTCATTTCCTCATGGCAAGAAATAATTTTAAAAGTTTGTAAGGTAAGAAATTAATTTTTGTGTATTGTTTTTATCGACATAAAGGTGGTAGAACTTTTTGTGATATTTACTCAACAACAAAACCAGTTCATCTGGCTGTCGTTTTTTGAAAGCATGTTGAGACAGTAGGCAAAAACAGGTGCGTTAAGTTTTATGTGTGCCAACTGTCTTGCTAGTAATTGACCTTCTGTTTGGTCCCCTCCCTTGAAAAAACCTGATAATTTCAATCGGAATATCATGGAAAAATCATTTCCGTTTTTTTAATCGATTTATCGGTGTAAAATGGTATTCAATCTGGTACAACTACTTATCTGAAACAAATTGAAAAAAAAGTAGAAAAAATGTAAGCCACTTTATTAAGAAAAATAAATATCTATTGTTCTAAAGATTGTGTTTCTTATTGCTTTGAAACGCTCAAAGTGGAAAATTTTTATTTTTTAAAATAGTTTGATTTACATTTTTGTGTGATAAGCTTTAAAAAATGTATTTTTTTTTGCAATTGACAATTGAAACACAAAAGAACTAGATTGAGAGACTATTTCTTCAGTTTAGTATTGACTAACTGTTTCTTATGATAAAAATTTTGAATAGCTCTCTATTATGATATCACAGCTCGGACTCAATTTTGTTTTTTTTTAATATCGAAGCAGGTTTCTTTCTACTGAATATCTTTTTTTGTTGAGGTCATTTTTTTGCTTTCTGATTACAGTCAACCAAGTTCGAAAGCATCATAATCAATCATAAAAAAAAGATTTAACAAATATTTCCATTACAAAAATAGCCTAGTCTAGCATTTTTTTATCGATAGAGTTAAAAAACTTAATAGTTATCTACTGTTTTTATATCGAAAAGCTGTTGACGAATTTAGGACCTTATAAATTTCAGTTTGCAGCTGTCCAATAAACTGGAAAAATTACAGCTTATTCTAGTCATGCTGAGTTCATATTGACGTGGATGGCTGGAAGTTTTGTAATTGAGAGAAAGAGTACATAAAAAACGTTCGTTAAAATTTTTTGTAATTGGTTACTTTCTCAGCAATTTTCTCAATTGATAAGTACCAAATATTCTGGAGTTTGACAGAATAAAGACCATGGGCATGTAGGCTTTTGCAGTGCATTGACATCACTTAAATTCAATTTCAAACTAAAAAGAATGTTCACACCGAAAAGCCTTTTTTGACATTGCAGGATACATGGTAAGTCTAAGAGTTCAAGTTGAGGTCTGCAACTTTTGTCCAAACATTAGAAAAGAGTAAAAATAGAAAACGAGTATTGAAAAAGAGAAATAAAAAAGAATAGGAGCAGATTTTTTTTGCTTACGTTCTGATAAATTTTCGTTGTTTCGACCACTGAAAATGGCGAGGAGCTTAAACTTCGCATGTGTTTATTTTTTGTTTTCTTTTGTTCTTACATTTTGTCTCGCGTTTTTTTTTTCTATTTTGATCTTAAGCAAAATCAGGCGTCAAAATAATCATCAGAGTAGATCGAGTGATGAATCATATTGAAGCTTGTACAGTCCTGATTCAAACAAGGGCTGAAAATTTTCAACCTTCGAAGATATTTTTTAGTGGGATAAAAAATTTTGGATAAAATTTTTTTGAAGGCATGCGTTTGTTTTTTCCCAGTTTTGTAATTGCAGTTGAACTATGTCAACTTTCATAGTAATTTCACGTAAAATCCCTTAGAATTATTTGAATTTTACGTCCGTTGGTCTGAAAAGATTTAGCATTACTTCTGATGCTAAAGACTTGTCACAAACATATGTCTTTTTTTAAAAATTTCGTCGTAATTGATCCATTGAACGGAGCAAAGCGCTTTCATTGCAGTTCTTTGACTTTTACGTCCGTTGTTCTGAAAAGATTTAGCATTACTTCTGATGCTAAAGACTTGTCACAAACATATGTATTTTTTTAAAATTTCGTCGTAATTGATCCATTGAACGGAGCAAAGCACTTTCATTGCAGTTATTTGACTTTTACGTCCGTTGTTCTGAAAAGATTTAGCATTACTTCTGATGCTAAAGACTTGTCACAAATATATGTATTTTTTAAAAATTTCGTCGTAATTGATCCATTGAACGGAGCAAAGCGCTTTCATTGCAGTTCTTTGACTTTTACGTCCGTTGTTCTGAAAAGATTTAGCATTACTTCTGATGCTAAAGACTTGTCACAAACATATGTATTTTTTTAAAATTTCGTCGTAATTGATCCATTGAACGGAGCAAAGCACTTTCATTGCAGTTATTTGACTTTTACGTCCGTTGTTCTGAAAAGATTTAGCATTACTTCTGATGCTAAAGACTTGTCACAAACATATGTATTTTTTAAAAATTTCGTCGTAATTGATCCATTGAACGGAGCAAAGCACTTTCATTGCAGTTATTTGACTTTTACGTCGGTTGTTCTGAAAAGATTTAGCATTACTTCTGATGCTAAAGACTTGTCACAAACATATGTATTTTGTAAAAATTTCGTCGTAATTGATCCATTGAACGGAGCAAAGCACTTTCATTGCAGTTTCAGTGCAAACAATGATAGCGGGTTACTGTGCAGATAGCACAAGAGCTTCCGATCATAGTCTCAAAAATACAAAAAATTTTTTCCCTAGAACTTAGGCTTATTAGAAAGTCATAATAAAATAGGTTCATTGGAAAACAGTATTTGTAAAATCAAGAATAGAAAAACGAAAAAAAAACTTTTGTTTTGCAAAATTTTTTGAATTTTGACAAAGAAATTTTGAAAGTTTTTGATTGCCAAAATGGCACAAAAAAACTCAAAAAATTAACTTTACTCGAGCAAAACTAAGTTTTCAGGGCTTAAATTAAGCGTAAATAAGCTATTTTAAGCCTGCTCGCTCACCTTATTCGCTCGAAGAAAGACAAAAATCAAAAACTTTTTCAAAGTTTATTAATGTCGTTAAAATCACGAGGGTTTTTATATGATATATCAATCGACACTTTCCGACGATTATTTGTGGTACCTGATTTTGCGTGGAAAACCAAAAAAACTATAACACACGCGAAAACAAAGTTTTTCCCCATTTTGAATGGTTGGAGCAATAATCTTGTGATATTCATGTGTTTCACTAGAAAATTAACGCATATGAGCAATGCTCATGTGAAAACACGTTAACACTTTTGAGAATGAAGTGTCTGTTCTGTAGCGGGTTCCTCTGGCCCAGCTGGGTGTGCCGGCGGCAATCCGGGCGGAGGTGTCGTGGTGCTGTGTCAGCTGCCGGGGTGTCTGGACATTGTGCACATGTCTGTGGATGGGAGACAGCTGCAACTGCTCTCTCTCGTCTACAGCAGACAAATCGCAGGAGAGACTGTCTACTTCGTCGACCTCATTGACGTAACTTTGTTTTAAAGCATTTTGGGTATTTTTGTATTGTGGAACGATGCTAAAAAGGCTATCCGTCTCTCAAACCAGAGGTTGGTGGTTCGAGGCCCACAGTGACCCGTGCTCGTTGGTTGCGTGCGATGCACCACATCCCAGCCCAGAATCATAACCAGAAAAGTTTGCACATAGGTCTCGAGGAGCTAACAGGGGTTCTTCTTTAATGAGTTGAACAGCTCGTATATTGGTCCTTTCACTTAAGGATAAAACCACTACCGTATTTCTTGGTGTTTTATGACAACTCTGCCAAATTCTGAGTGTCTTTGAACTCCCGAGTCGAGATTTTTCACCTAATTTGAAGCAAGATGAGCGGTTTGAGCGGTTTTTGAACGGTTTTATCTAAAAAAATCCGCTCAAAAACCGCGCAAGATTTGAACGGAAATAGAAAAGATATGGAAATTGTATGATAACCATTTTTTTTCCAAAACAAAATAAACGTAGTTATTTTTCATCACCAGATTGTTGTATTTGGTTCAAATAGCCTGAGAAACTAGATTGAATCTTTTTTCAATGGTTTTTTGAAATTGTATGAAATTTTTATGATTAGCATTTTTCCATACATTTGATGCAGGCAATTGTATGATAAGCTTTTTCGGTGTGGGGAAATTTAAAATAAGCATTTGCGGTTTATGGATGTCAACCGGGGGCCCCTTTACCTTTCCAGGCTTTTTGATGGTTTGAATCAGTTTTTTTTCATAAGACCGCTCAAAAACCGCTTAAAAACAGCTCAAATTTTGCTTGAAAAACCGTTCAAAAACCACCGCAAGAAATGAGCGGTTTTTGAGCGGTTTTTAAGCAAGATTTGAGCGGTTTGAGCAATTTTTCCAAAAAACCGCCCGGACCGCTCAAACCGCTCAAAACTTGCTGGAAAACCACTCAAACCGCTCATCCAAAGAGAATTGATCCAAAGAGAATTGTTGTGGCTAGAAATTTGGTTTTTTTTTTTTTTTTTTCAATTCTGTTTTCCAAAAATTGTGAAATTATTCTTAAGAAACCCTAATCTTAACCTAAACTTAACTTCAAGCTACCCCGAGTCATTTTCGGAGAAGAAGAACTGTGTGGCTCCGATCTTCGAGATCTCAGTTTTACTCGTCGTAAGCTAACAATTTGTGACGATTCAAACTGAGCAAAAAACCTGGTTTTAAAACCTCGTTTTTGATAAGCAAGGTGTTTTAAATTGAGCAAAAGCACTCTTAATTACTTTAAGTTTGATTAAAAACAAGTTTTAACATTATTCTGAACATCTTGCCTTTTATGAAAAAATTGTTATCATACAATTTTCATATATGCAAATTGTATGATAAATATTTTTTAGCTTCAAATTAAATTTTCGTTTTTGATGAGCAATGTCCTTTAAATTGAGCAAAAGCACTCTTAAACAATTCAAATTTGTTTATAAACAAGTTTGAACAATTTCTAAAAAATCTTGCCTTTCATGAAAAAATGGTTATCATACAATTTTCATATATGGAAATTGTATGATAACCATTTTTTTTTCAAAAAAAACATAAACGTAGTTATTTTTCATCACCAGACTGTTGTATTTGCTTCAAATAGCCGGAGAAACTAGATTGAATCTTTTTTCAATGGTTTTTTGAAATTGTATGAAAATTGTATGATTAGCATTTTTCCATACATTTGATGCAGGCAATTGTATGATAAGCTTTTTCGGTGTGGGGAAATTTAAAATAAGCATTTTCGATTTATGGATGTCAACCCGGGGTCACATTACTTTTCCAGGCCTTTTTGTTGATTTTAATCGGTTTTCAATAAAAGACCGCTCGAAAACCGCTCAAAAACCGCTCAAATCTTGCTTGAAAAACCGTTCAAAAATCACCGCAAGAAATGAGCGGTTTTTGAGCGGTTTTCTAAGCAAGATTTGAGCGGTTTGAGCGGTTTTTCCAAAAGAAACGCCCAAACCGCCCAAACTTCTCAAACCGCTCAAATCTTGCTGAAAAACCGCTCAAACCGCTCATATCTTGAGCGGTTTTTGAGCGGGATCTCGACCCGGGCTGTTCAATTTGCAGCAGCTTACGATTTTTCGAAGGAGAAAGAATGCGTTCAGGTTTAATTGCAAAACTCAGATTCCACATTTTAGATTTAGTTTTTGCTATTCAGTAACAATTTTACCCGACTGCTCGTTCCGAAATGGATTATTTTGGCCGACGATGATGATGAAATACCCAATAAACTCTAATCGCGAGTTAGTGACGAAAACTTCCGTTTTGGGTTTCTACTATTTGCAGACATGCAAGAATAATATGCAGGCGCATGTGTGGCATTTTCAAGTCAAAGTGAGGGGCGATTGATGTGCCCTCTTTAAATGAACTAATGATTATGCGTTTGTTTGTGCAAATAGCGACTGAAGGTGCTGGACGGAAACCACTCTGAGAGGAGGTTCTCCGTCAACCTCAACAGTGGAAACAGTAGTGCCTCGTCATCTGCCACTTCCTCACTTGTCAAAAGTCAGTCACAACTGGAACAGTCTTTTTAAATTATTCCGCCCAGTTTCGCAAATATCAAATAAAAATGGAAATGATATATCTTGAATTTGATTGGCTGAAACTAAATGCATTGCAAAATTATAATTGAACGTTTCGTACATCGGTAAACGATGGGCTGTTATTAATTTGGGTGTGAATAGTAAAAAAAACGCAAACTGCAATTTTTATTGTCGGCTGTAAAAGAGATAGATAGCAATTTAAAGACCTTCGTATGTATTCCTCGACTTTTCTGTGTTAAGTTGGATTTAAAATGAATGGCGGATAAATAATTTGGAGATAAATAAATTTTCCAGCAAGGTTCAAACTCAAAAAATGAACAACGATAGCCAGTTATTGTGCTTTTTTTTTCAAATTGGTATCGTTTTTTTCTGCATGTTGTGATAAAACATCTGAACAAAAAAAATAAAAGTTAGGCATATTTGAGATTGATACTAAAATAGGTCAATTGGAAAAACAGTTTTATAGAAAAATGACTGAAAAAAAAACAAAAAAAAACTTTTTCAATTTTTTTTATAAGTTTTAATTTTTTTGATTCCCAAAGTTGCGCTAGAAAACTCTTAAAACTACCTTTACTTGAGTAAAACTACGTTTTCGCGGCTTAAATTAAGCTTAAATGAGTAATTGTAAGCCTACACGGTCACCTTATTCGCTCCAAATTAGACCACAAATCAAAAATTTCAAACCGGTTTTTCTCGACACTGTGAAAAAAATTTAATTTCGTTTGAATCACGACTAAAAGGGTCGAATGATATATCACTCGACCCATTCCGATGATTATTTGTGGTACCTGATTTTTTTTGACCAAGGGTTGAGCTTTTTTTTCAATGATTTCATCTTTTTTCGGCCACTCAAAAGAGTTTTCTGAGTTTTCCTGCTTTTTAAAAAATCTAAAAACCAAGAAATAAGACAAAATTGAGCAACAGACTTTTTTAAGGAAAAATCTGGTAACTTAATAAAAAAAAATTGTGTTTTTGGTTCTTGCTTTCCCCTCAAACTTATCGTCAATGGAGTCTAAAATAGCATTAAGGACGGGACTCTTCAAATTTTCAGGGCGAGGGTTTAGTTTTTTATTTACGATTTCGTTAAAACGCAAATCAGCTATTTATCAAATAAAAAAAAAGTGGTCGTCGTCTAAGCATTTCCATTTTTTTCCATTCCAGACATTCCAGAGTTATTTTAATGAACGCAGCTCTTTTTTTGCGTCTAGATTTTTCACGTGGTATGCTAAATCACATCCAGTTTGGCTAGAAACAGCCATCTTATTTTCCACAATTTGGTTTCATTTAATTTTTTCATGTAATTATTGCTGCATATACCTTAAAAGGCAGTCGGATCATTCAGCGCTTCACCCTGATACGAGCAGTCTGGTTAACTTAATGCGCAATTCTCGAAATTCAGCTTAAAATTCCTTGTTTGTCAATATTTCTTTCATTACGAGGCCAAACTGTGCATTTTGCGATTTGTAAGCGGATTCCACAACAGGAAAAAACCAAATTTGTCTCGGAATCCCCATCAATGCTATTTTTCTTTGATCTTAGCTGCTGTTTTGGATTCCACAGACAAATAGCTAAAACATTGTGTAGCTCAAAATCGCTCCAAAAACAGATAACTTTGCGGAATCCGCAACAAAATGTTTGGAATCCGGAATCAGTTTGTGAAATTCATGAACAAATACTATTATATGTGCTTAGTAGACTTAAGCTGGCGCGCAATTCGCAACTGTAAGTGGAACCCGCAAATTGTAAGCGGAATCAGCATAAATTTGCGGAATCCACTTACATTTGCGGAATCCGCTTACATTTGCGGAATCCGGAACAACTACCTATATTTGCTCGTTGCGGAATCCGCAACCAAATGAATGTGCCTACAAAATTTACGTTACAGCTATTTGTCCGCGGAATCCACTGAATTTTTGTATGGGGAATCCACTTACATTTTGGAACATGTTTAAAGACTTGTTTCTGGAATCCAGGAACCTACAGACACAAAATTGTGCGCCTATCTAGTGCACAGTTTGACCTCGTAATGTTAATCAAACACAATTCGAGACCAGTTTTGGACATTCAGAACATTAAGAGCTTTGTCCTGATACAAGCAGACTTGTTGGCATTAAAAAATTCTGATTAACTGAATCAATTATTTTTTTATTTAGTTCTGAAAACTGTTTTAAAACATTTTTTAAATGTGATGTTCACCTTTAAGAATATTGGCTCTGCATGCATTTGGGCATTGTTTCAAAGGGGAAGCATAATCTAGTCGTTATGTCCGCTGTGAGATTTTGGTGATTAGTTTGATAAGATTAGCAGAAACTTTCAAAAGCGAAGACAATACCAAAAGCAGCTATTAAAACAAAATATTGTTGTGGTAGAAAGCAAAACTTAGCTTACACTTTATAAATGGAATTCAAATATTGCAAGAATCCCACGAAAAAAGCAAGAATATAGTTTTTTCTTGCAAAAAGATTTGCAGATATAATGAAAAAGATTTATGTCTTCGTTTTGAAAACTCGAAAGTTTATTTTTTTAAATAAATCAGTCATTGTTTGGTCTCTCGAAAATAATTGAAATTTTCTCAATCATCTGTTGAATATACTTTGGTTTGCACAATAAGTCGCATTTCTTTCACAAAACAAAAATTCGAATAAAATCTGAAACAAATTGACTTTTTTCATGAACATTGCAACTGTTAATACGCCATTTTTGTTGATTTTTCATTGAGAAAATATGAGTTCTATATACCGTAGAACAAGCAAGGGAATTTTTTTTTGTTTTTTATTGTAGTTTGAGATAAGACCCCCAAACAAACCTTTTATGTCGTTTCAGCCCACTTTCTGCGTCGCCAGGAGAGTGGGGGGGTTGGAGCGACCATGAGGCGGAACCCGAATCCAGTGTTCTATCTGCTAGTGATGGTGCTAGGAGTTGACCTGCACTTGTACAAAGTCAGCTGTGAACACATCTACAATACAGATTACGCAATCAACCAGTGCCGCATTCTCAAAAACAGGTCCTTCAGATTTTATTCATCTTTCTAAAACGAAACCAGGTTTGGAAAACATCAAGAAATTTTTAAACTCCCAAAGTTAACAGCTCCGTCGCTGTGGGTTCTCTACATTCGATTGTTAGTTGATGTTGTGACTATAGTCCAGATTTTAAGACAGTGTTACTTTTTCAATCAATGATATCTGTTGATGTTTTAACTCTACTTCGAAGTCTTCAGTTGATATTGTAACTTAAGTCTATATTTTTAGATGGTATTTTAATTCCTTCCATGTTTATATTCAGCGAATATTGCAATTTTAGACTATGTTTTTAGTCAGCGAACTTCAGCTGATTTCATTTCCAGGTACCATCGCATCCCGTCGCCTCCCAATTTGAGCCCGGTGGGTGGATTCATCTGGGCCCAGTGGGACTCCAAGCACCAGAGGGTTTTCCTCCTCACCCTCCATCGGGACATGCAGCAACCCACCGGGTCAGGAAGCAACAACAACAACAACAGTGAGCCCAAAATGGACAGGTGTCTCTTTTTGGAGGGCAGAGAGTACAAGGCGGTCGACTCGGCAGAACAGTAATGGCACATTTTCGACACCAAAATTGAACCACACTCGAATAGAAATAGTTGAACATCTGATAAGATTAACTGGTTGCTGTGCATGAGGGGCACAGAAATTAGCACAGAAGTTTCCGACCATAGTAACCGAATAGGCCATCTAAAAAATCAGAAGAAACTTGAAATTGAAAAAAAATCCAAAACCTTTTAAACTTCGAAATCAAAAAAAAAAACTGAGCCACAATTGAAAAAAAGGTCTATAGTTTTTTAAAAAAGTTAATATTTAACTAAGTTAATTTTTTGCAATATTTTCAGCTCTGAATTTATTTTAAAATGCTTAGAAGAAAGATTTTAGAGTTGTATTTGCAGTGTTGAGAAAAAAATTTTTGCTTTTTACACTGGATATGGTGTCAATCACAGGGCGCCAATCAGTTATTCAACCAAGTTGAATTAAGCAAGTTTATTAAATTAAAATTAATACTTTATTCAAACTGTGTTTTCGCATTTAGTCACAAGAACTTGAGCTTAAGGTTCAACCTCGCCGCTTTTTTAAGAAAAACTGTTTTAATGAAAAACTATTTTTAAATTTATTTTATCATATTTTTCCTGATCGTTTGAAAGATGACGTTGGTCGGAAAGTTTTGTGATACTTGCACAAAGAGAAGGGTTAAGGGAAATCAGGAATTCGACCTCTCGCCACTCAAAAATAGATCATCTATTTAACGACACCCATTTTCGGCGGAACAACCCAACATCTTTTCTGTAAGCGGCGTACTTGTACGTAATAATTTTGATGCGCGAGCTCGCGTTACAACAAACCGCATTTTCTGGTCATAACCTTCCAAAAAAGGTAGCAAAAAAAGATAAATTTCAATAAATTAGGGTATTTACAGTGTTTTGGGAGATCTCGGGGGATAATCAATTTGGTCGACCCATAAAATTCAATAAAATGTCTGAAATTTTTGGAATTACCGCATCAAGAAACCCCCAGATCCGCCTCTGCTAGCCCTTGTAGAGCAATCAGTTATCCTTGTTTCCAGTTTTACGCGCGAGTGCGTAAAATTTTAATAATTACCATAATGGTGGCTCAATTTTTCTTCAGTGTCAAGTCGTTTCTCAATGTTCCGTAAGTTAAACAGTAAAATTACAACTTATCACGTTGAATACAAATGAAACGGTCACGACAAGATTGCAAAATTTGCAAGTTAGCAAGTTTTTGGATAAGGGGGCTTAACACTCAAGTTATTTTTAAATAATGTTTTTCAATAAAATTATAAGGATTGAAAGATTCAAATCTGCTATATCAATTTTAATAGAGACGTGGAAAGTGTTTTCAGAAAAATTTTTTACGACTTTTTAACGATTAATCTAATTTTTAAGTATGATTACTTTGCTTTCAGTATGACTTAAGGAAAATCGAAACAAAACTGGGAGTTGACAAAGTCCAAAAACTCACATCTTTGAAAAATTTTATCAGAAAGAATCATAGTTTTTATCAAAAAAAAGGCATTTCTTCAAATAAATTATATGAAAATCAACAATTTTTTTTGCAAAAAAGCAACTTTGATTGCACTAGGCTATTGGGAGAGTTCAAGGGGAAAGTGACGACAAATGCCTTTGGACAACGACTACGTCTGACTCTGAATCAAATGGTTCCGACCGATGAAACAAAGGTTAGCCATAAAAGAGCATCAAATGACATATTGACGAAACCGAATGAGATAAAGTTCCGATGTAAAATCTTGTTTACCTGTTGAACCAAACACCTGTTCTGATGATAAACTGATTGCGTTTGAATGGAAACAGTTTTTATCAAGACTGGCCGATTGCTCAGAAAATGTTCAACCACATATTTATCCTACAAAATCCAAGAAACAAGAAAGAAAAACATTTTTTTATGATTTGTTTTTTGCGAGGGTCGAAGGAGGAGGGGAGGGAGAAGGAAAAATTCGAAAAAACACTTTTTTTAGAAAACTTACGAATATATAATAACGAATCATATAAGTAATACGTTTGAAGTTTGATTACTTTTAAAATATCAAAATGTGAAGTGTTTTTCTGCAAATGATATCTTTCTGAAATTGAAATAGAACTTAATGTTTTCTCAAATATAAAAAGCGTTTTTACAATGTTTCATATTATTTCGATTGAAATGGCATCAACATGATATTCAAAAAGGTGGGCATCGCAATGCATCAGAAAACACCCGATTGAATAAGTTCCTTCCCATTGCGCGGTGTGAACAAAAACATGAGGATAATGACAGAAATCACTCTAAGACTGCTCTTATCAGAATTGTTCTGACTGCCTTATAATGTCTCTTGAATTGTTTTCAATTCTGAAAAAATAACGAAAATTTCACAAAAAAAAGAAAGGGTTTAACATTTCTTGGACTTTTTTAAAAACCAACCCCGCACTCTTCATAAAGTACAGATGATAGATTTCCATTAAAGTAATGTAAACATTGGCTCAATAATATTTTTGCTCTGATTAAACATCATGATCTTGCTCCATTTGCTCCTTTAGATTTGCTCCGCCTTTTTGCTTTTTGATATCTAAGAACTCAGTATGAGAAAAGAAAGTCGAAGTTTCCATGTTTTAAACTGTGTTTTCAATGCCAGTTTATTTTTGTGGCGATTTATAGAGCAAACTATCATACAAAAAAAATGAACTTTCGATTGCATAAATTTCCTAATTTCGAAATGTTCCCAAAAAAGTAATTTAGTTCTTCGTTACTTTTGCGATATCGTTCATAAGGATGGCAAGTTCGATTTCACAATGAAGCGCAAAGTTGTACCACTTGCCTTTGAGTTTTCATAAAAAGCACAGGAGCTTGGCGTGGTAACTTTTGCGAAGATTTGCGAAAATTAGCACCGTTTTATTAACTTTGCTAACATTAAATCAAATCAGACCGAGAGAAATGTTTTTTGACAGATAATTGACTTCTAACCTGAAATTGCCTGAAATTTTCCTCAAAAAATTATAGAATTAGCAGGGCCACAACAGCGGATCTCCGTGATGAACATTGTTGGTTCTTTTCCTCGTGGAAGAATGGTTTCAACGTTAGAGGAATTAAGATTTTTGAGCAGTCATTTTCTGCAGTAAGGCTGAGATTTTATTTGGCTAACTGGTTAAGACACGCATATCTAAAAAAAAGTTATTTGATAAACTTTTCTTGAAAGAAAAAATCACAAAATTATCCGACTGGGTACTTGATTGGTCTGGAATTTTCTCTGGCTAACCAGGATCAGATATAACAAAACCTAAACTTTGTTTTTTCCCGAGAGAATAAGGAAAATCAATCTCTCTGAAATCAATTGAACACTTTTTTCACGATTTGAACAGTTATATTGCACAAAATTTGTTCTGAAGATACATAATTTGGCGCTCAATTTGTGTTAGGAGTGTTGTGCCAGCGCAAACAAAGGCCAGCGAACGGCTCAGTAGAAGTTCAAATCTAAAGAACAAACTATAGATAGATTTTTTGTCATTAAAATTTATTTGATGAAGTCCATGAGTCCTGTATTTGCACAATTGTTGACGCTGCTAATCAATGAGTCTTCTGAGAAAAAAAAATTTCACCGACTTAATCGAAACATGCTAATGTAATTCAATCGAGCAAAAATGAGCAGTTAAAATCTGATTGCCCCAACGATCTTTCCATACGGTTGTTATGAATTTTCAAGAAAATTTTTGAAAAAATTAAGCAGAAAGAATTGATTATTTTTTTGAAAAAAAAACAGCGTTTTGTCAGACGTGCAAGAAACTTGCAGAAAAACTAAGTATGAAACATTCAAATGTTGGTCTCGTGGAAAACAATGAGAAAAAAATTTAAAATGAAAAAAACCTCACACAGATTGTCTTCATTGGCATAACAAAAACATTTGACAAAATTGTTGTTAACAGAGTGTTTCAATCATGGACTAATCTTTCCACTGCATATGTTATTTCAGGTGAAAGACAGCAAGCTTTGTTTTTTTTTAATAAGCCATCAGATCTGAAAATTTTATGATACGGAAAGCTACAACTTTCAGTACTCTGGACCCACTTTGTTCTTTCTTTAACAAGCTATCAGATCTGAAAATTTATGATAAGAAAAGCTACAATTTTCAGTTTTCGGGGCCCATTATTTCCCTAACTTGTATAAGCAAAATTTCTGACTAGTTCAAATAATCGCGTTTAAGTTTTTTCATTGATGGCACTGCTATATCTGAAAATACTGAACCATCTTCACAGATTTTTTTGTTTCATGAATTGAATACGTTAGGTAGTTGGCTCACTGCTAATAAGCTGACGAGAAGTAGCAGTAAAACAGGTATTGTTATTTTTTGCACAAAAAGATTACAAATAGCATCGATATTTTTCACAGTGTTTTTCCTCAATGTGAGCTAAAATCACTAAAATCAAAGGAATTCATCTAAAACACCTGATTAGCCGTTTTTGCGGAAACCTGACAAAGCGACCCGTGAAAAATTAGTTTCAAGTCAATGTCAACAAACAAGGAACTACAAAATAGCTTCAGGGTTTAAACAGAGAAAACAGAGCAAGAGTCCTCAATTTGAAGTTACGAAAACAAAAGAATCGTTGTAAGGCTTGAAACACAGATTATGAGTATTGCTTAATTCAATGGTTGAATTAGAAGTAATGATTATTTTAAATTTTGTTAAAGTTTCATAAAACAGCTCAATCCATTTTAAAAATATCTCGGTTATTAATTAGCTCAATAATATATTTTTCGAAAACATATTTTGGCGATACGGAATTTCTAATTCTAATGTTTCAATTGAATATTTGAACTAAAGCAAGATGTTGACATGGAGATTTTAAATTCTTTTTCTTTCCAGTGGAAAAAAAAATTTTCTCTGCTTTTTCAAATCAGTCGTTTTTTCATGCGTAATTCATTGTCTGTTTAATTCCATTGATTGCTTAAAACTTTTTTTGTCTGTATACAATGTTTGAACAAGTCTGTTTTTTTTCTTAATATATCGTTTTGATTACCGAAAGTTACTGCTCTCTTAAGGGGATTAAAAACAGGTCGCAAAACCTGATAGTCTCTTTCCATTTGTTTCAAATTAAGTAAATGAAAACTAATATTGTTTGTTTTTCTGGAATCAAACAGAAAATTTTTTTCTAAATTTTGTGCTTTTCTCAAAATTCGCTTTTTATTTACTTAACTTACTTCTTCTGCTTCACGGTTTCAAAATTTTTTTGTTTTGTTTTTTCTTTTACAGAAAAACTTGCTATACAATTTTTTTTGTTTGAAAATGTATAAACAGCATCATTTTTTTAATGAAACAACCATCTTTTGATAGGTTTTTATTGTCTTCGCAAGCAGTTTGAGTACAGATAGTCAAATTATGCATACTTAAGTCTGCTTTTTATGGTATTCAGAAAAAAAAGATAATTTATTTATTTGAGAAAACGATTATCATGCAATTCTCAAGGTACGAAATGGTTTGAACTGCTCATTTCCACAAAATGAAAGTATGATTTATTCACTAATATCAGTTTAATTCTCGTTATTTAAAAGTTAACATCTTAACATCTTTGAATGTCCTCATATTTATTTTACCAAGTTTTGCTTCTGGATTTTTTATAAGAGGGTTTAGGAGGAGGGGCGGAAGCCCTCCCTTCCCTACCTTCTCATAAATTCCACCCCCTGACGAATCAAAGGGCCCCATTTTTAACATTTTTTTTAATACATCCACTTTTGACAACCGAACCTAGTATTTTTCTAAAAGCGCCGAACTTTGACTAGCAATTTTGATAAGCTCTTTTTATGAAAATAAATGACTAACATTTTTACTGTATGGAGGTCAACCCGTTTTATGGAGGTTATTAACCCACCCTGTTTGTTTTTGTTAGGTAGACACCACCCCAATGTCAGACTGTGTCAACTACAGTCACGTGAACGGGAGGTTGCTGGCACAGGGCAATGGGACTGTGACGCTGTGCATGCAGTTGCTCAAACAGAAGTATGAATCTAGAGATGTCCTCAGCTACGCCGTCGTCTCATTCCATCACATGATTGTACATGTAAGTTTGTAGCATTTTTTAAGAAGTTGATGAACGTAGTAACACTCTTACATAGGTCTTGGTGATTTTTTTATTGTGTTTTTTTTTTCAGGAAAAAGCCTTAAAATGCTCTAATAACTACAGATGCGCTTTCATACGTATTTATGTTTATGAACGCTTTTATTAGGTATATGTGTACTTTTTGAGTTCAAAATAAACTCATCTGCTGACAGATAAAAAAATGCACTCTCAAAAAAAAGAATAGGGAAATGGCGAGAAAAACGTGAGCTGGCGAGAAAAGCTAAAGTGGCGAGAAAAGCTAAAGTCGATTGTATTAATCAAAAATCAAACCAGACATCTCGTATCAGATTCAAAGGTTTTGAATTCGTTTTCAAATTATTTGACATGCCCCATACGCATTGTCAAGTATAAACAAATTTTTTTAAATTACCAATGCAATTTTAGCTAAATTAGTCGGACTCAATTTAAATCGGAATAATTAATTTTTTTTCAGTTTGGTATCTAGTTCAAGTGACATGCCAATATGGAAGAACCCATTTGACTCATCTACTAGTTCAAGATACTTTATTTCTCAAACTAGCATTTACTTAGCATGAACCTTGTGAGCCGAATATGCAATTCTACTTCCCGCAGTGACAAAAAATTGATAAAAATTGACTATACACTGAAAAATCTACAGATTAACGTAAGAAAGAAATCGATTTGATTTATCTACAACCATTTTTTGAACGATAATCGATTCTGTACTGATAGAGTCAATTTTTTCCCCAAAAAATATATGGATATTAGTTCCAATATAATCAATTTTTCTATTGTGTAAAAAATGTAGATACTTTGTAGATAATCTGCATATAGTCAGTATATAATCTTTATACAATATAACTTGTTAATAAACTGTAGATAATCTGTATATAATCTGTATAAAATCTCTATCAAATTGATTATAATGCCTAAGAATTATAGGGATCATAAAAATTTAAGTTTTGACCATTCAAAGTTTAAATTAATCATTTTTTCGACAAATTCAACAAAAACTTGCAATCAGGAATAATTTTCCTCAGTTTTATAGTGAGCTGAACTCACTTGAGGAAAATTGGTTACCGCAAACTACAGGTGTCAAGAGATCCCTCTAAGGTTCTGCAATCTAAGGGTTTCCGCGGTAAAAAAAGACATTTGTGCAAAACTTTTTCAAATGCCATTCAAAAGATCAACCAAATCAGCGCAATTTTGTGAGAAAAACATCTATAAAAGTTTGTTTTGAATATAACATACGGCAATTTTACTTTCTGCTACAATTTATCTACACAATAGGAAACTTATTTTTTTTTTTCAGATCAAACATCACTACAAAAATTTCAAAAAAGCCTACATTATAATTTTATTTCAACATACTTGTTCTATCTGATTGGCGAGAATAAAGAGAAAATCAGTATTTAATCTCCATTTAATATGTATATTGTCTGTATAAAATTTGTATATATATTGCATACAATCAGTATATATTCTGTAGATAATTTGTAAATAATCTGTAGATAATCTGTAGATCAGCTGTAGATAATGTGTGTATTATCTGTTTATAGTATGCATAAAATTTGATACAGAAAAAAAACAGTTTTAGAGTGTTTTGGCAAGGATAATACAATGAAGAACTAAAGTATAAAACTTTTGCAGAAAACAATGCATTTTAATTGATTATTAAAACTACATGTTCAAAATTTTACTGCATAAAATTACAACAGATCTGAAATCTGGATATTTTCTACGAATAAACAAACTTTATCCATTTTTTCACTGCGGGTTCCTCTGCTGCATTATTAACTTCAAAATTAACAGAGGCATATTATGAAAGACATTAACATTCTAGTGCAATGTCATTTCTACTGCCTCTAATCAATAAATCGTTCGTATAACTTGTTATTCGACAAAAATAACAGAATATTTGTGCTAAGGGTGTTTGTTGTTTCTTCAGACAATTTTTTTTAGACCATGAAAAGGTATTGTTATCTTGAGATTAAATTTGAAAAACGTTGCATCTGTGATCACTATTCGTAAAGTTATGAGCGCTTAAAGACTGCCATTGTGGCTAATTAACGACACATTTCGCGCTATGAACACTGAAGCGGAGATTTAATCTGTCTTAGAAAGCGTTCCAAGTTGGTTGAAGGAAGCTTATGTGCCTTGATAGAGTGAAATCTATCACTTTGTATTTTATATGGCACCAAAAATCTTTCACAAAAAATCTCTAATTTTAAATAAAATTTTTTTTTTCATTTTATTTTATTATATTTAATTTTTTATTGTTATTACTGCTCCATAGAAGCCAGATTTTAAAAAGCAAGCCGGATCATTCAGAGTTTCGCCCTGATACGAGCACGTCCCTGATTTATCATCCTCATCAAAACTATTAGTTTTTAGTATGGTATTTTCCAAAGACCCATGTTTTTGTGTAAAAGAGACACGCTGGTTGGAATATATTTTTGATTGTTTCCGAGTTCAGAGCACATATCATTGGTTGTAGTCGAAGGGCATTTAAATTCTGCTGCAAAATTACTTTGATTCAAATTTCATAAGTTTTTTCAGTATTGGATTTTGATGAAATGTTTTTTGTTTATTCAGAGTAAACTTAGAAAAACATTCTTCGAAATATCAGCTTTTTTGATATGTACATCATTGTGAAATGATTACCCACTTCTCTGAGATCTGTTTTATTTCTATGCGGTACTCGGTTTTTGGCGTACAAGTAACGAAAAAAATAGACACTGGACAGGAGAAATAGTCTATTAGGCATTGGACAGGAACATGTTTTTGCTCTAAATTTGATCAAAATTATCTCTAATGTTGTAAAAAACAGCCTTGAATCACTCTTTATTATTTCAAAATATACGGACTAATCATAGAAAAAACAGCCTTGAATCAGTCTCTAGTATTGTAAAAACAACAAACCTGAATCATTCTCTACAACTAAAAAGCCGCATCGAACCAATGCCTGTTATTGCAAAAAAAAACAGCCTTGAATCAGTAGTTGTTACTGCAAAAAAGTTGAATCATTCATTCACTAATGTTACAGGGTTTCCTTTCTGATATTCTTGCGTCTTTTAACCCCCTATATATCAACCCACAGGTCAAGGTCCCAGACTCAAGTCCAGAATTTCGCGACAAATTTTTGGCATTTCTAGACCTTCGCGACCAAAACTTGACTTTTCCAGACTTAAGCGACCACAAGCGACCGAAACGAGGATGGCGCGACCGAAAAATTGCGACCCATACTTGAAATTTTCAAACTTTCGCGACCAAGACGGAGAGGGCGCGACTAAAAAAAACTCTCGCGGCTTTCCGGACTCGCGGCTTTCCGGACGAAAGTAATTGTAATCCAAATGGCAAATATTCAAACTGAGAACCGAAAACTTTAAGAATTTTTTGAACTAATTGACTGAATTTAAATGAAGTATGAAATATAACCTGGTTGGTACCCAAACATTTATCTAAACTAGGCTTGCTTCGAAGAAGACCTTTTAAATTATAGCTGCTGCGCATACAAATTATCTACGGATTGTTTCTAGATTTGATCGTGATTTTTTGTAAACAAATGCATCT